TAACAACCACACCTAAAACAAAAGCAAACTAAAAGGACAGCTAGATCAGGAGCGAACCATAAAAATGGAGATCATGTGGAGGGTTAGCAACAGGGGAGTGGGAGAAGGAGAAAGGGGGAGGAGGTACAGAAAATAAGTAGCATAGATGGTAGGTAGAAAATAGATAGGGGGAGGGCAAGAATAGTATGGGAAATACAGAATCTAGAGAACTTGAGACATGTGGTCATAAACTAAAGGGGGGAATTGTGGGGGAGGGGGTGTGCAGAATGGAGGGGAATGAAGGAGGGAAATAGAACAACTGTAATGGCATAATCAATAAAATATATTTTTAAAAAGGAAGGGGCACTGCAGAAAAGAGGAATGTTGTAACTCAGAAGCTCTCCAGCTTAGCAAGCAGATATCACAACAGGGCAGCAAAGTCACACTTCCTCAGGTCAGCTTTCCCTGAACAGCGCCCCCTCCCATCACCACTCCATCTCCGCAGTTAAGTCTCTTTGCTATTAATTCTTATAACAATATGCGATTCCTTCTAGAACTCAGCAGTCTGTAATTGTGTGTTCTTTGTGATTGCTTGGAAGGTTTGCCTCCCTACTAGAGAGTAAAGTGTGTGAGGCTGGCATATTGTGTTTATTTTGCTTTCTATTCCATTTAGTCCAATGGCTGGTGTGCTGTATGTACTGAGTAAACATTTATTGACTATGTGAAAATGACAATTCTTTGTCTTTATAATGTTATTCCTGACACAAACTGAAACAGATATGAGATTGCCATTGGAGGAAAACTGTGGGGTTCAGAAGCTTCTAAGCAGGTGGGATGGCTTGGGCTAGCATGTCAGAGGGGAAAGACTTTCCTACCAGAAAGATAGGCATCCCTGACTAATACATGGCTAGAGTTTGCTGCCTGATTTTATGATTTTAGATTTGAAAGTTTGATAGTTTTGTATTTTACATTCTTTTCTCCTACTCTGATCCTCATTCTGGTAGTTCTAGTCTCAGGAAGGGGTCTGGGAATAGATATATTATGAGAAGAGACTATCTTTGGGGGCTCTAATGGAATGTTTTTTGGAAAAGCTTTGCAGAGACCACAGTCACATTAGAATTGAGTGTTCCTATTATGATGACATTTGTTGATGTTTTTACACTTAATGAAGCTTTCACAACATCTGAGTCTCACAGACAGAAAGCATGCAATTCAGAATAATGGCCCTCAGTTTATAGATGAGGAAAGAATGGCTCAGAAGAGACCGATTTATCTAAGTCACAGTGAAAACAAGAGCAACCTAACATTTTTGAGAGCTGATTCTGAGTTGAGGCACTAAACTGCCTATATTTAGAATATATTATTTAATACTCACCACATCTCTACAAGGTAGGTAACCATTATTATTATCATTCACATTTTACAGATGAAGAGACTGAGACCTAGAGGTCATTTGCCACACACTGCATAACCAAGAGCATAAAGCCAGGGATCAAACCCAGGCAGCCTGTCTCATCAGCTCAGAGGATAAACTGCCATGCTAATGAGTAGCATTGGGAGATCTGCAGTAGATAGACTGTTGCTACTACTATAGGTCTTCCAACCAGCTGGTTCAATGCTGCTACTTTATGTTGCCATTTTTAAAAAATCTGTTTGCAGTTTCACTTTAGCTTAGAATTTATCAGAGACTATAGTTATGTAATTGCATATGATTGAAATTACATCAACCAAGTCCAGATAAGAATCCCCTAAATTTACTAACTAAAAAATAATTGTTGAATACATTTGAATACTGATTTTTTTAGAGGTGGCCATTGCTTAATAACCACAAGACACATTCATTGAATATATTGAGGAAAACTTGTACTTTTTTTCTAACATTCTACAACACATTGTTAAGGAATATTAAAAAAAATGGCCCTTGTTGGTATGGCTCAGTGGATTGAGCACCAGCCTGCAAATCAATTTTGCTGGTTTGATTCCCAGTTGCAGCACATGCCTAGGTTGTGGGCCACATCCCCAGTAGGGGGCCGGTGAGAGGCAACCATACAGTGATGTTTCTCTCCCTTTCTTTCTTCCTCCCTTCCCCTCTCTCTAGAAATAAAGTCTTTTAAAAAGTATAAAAAATGTTAAGTCCATGAAAATGTGTAATTATATGAGTCCTTTTAGGCTCTTCTTTCTTTTTTTTTTTAAAGATTTTATTTATTTATTTTTAGAGATGGGAAGAGAGGGAGAAAGAGAGGAAGAGAAATATGGATCTGTGAGAGAAACAGCAATTAGTATTGGTTGCCTCACATGCCCCCAACCAGGGATCTGCCCACAATTTAGGCATATGCCCTGACCAGGAATTGAACCAGCGACCTATTGGCTTGTGGGACCATGCCTAGCCCATACAGCCACACCAGTCCGGGCTAAATTGTTATTTCTTCCAGGAGATGACAATGACCAATAGTGACTGGCACATTCTTTGCCCTCTAGAGATCCAAGTCTTTTTCCCTATGGCTTCTTTTTATACTGTACTTTGTAATTGAAAAGAAAACATGAAAATGCCATAATATGTAGCCAATAAGAACAATTACAACTCAAAGCTTCTTTGCCTAGAACTCTAGATAGGAAAGTGATCCAGCCAAGATTTTGGGCCTGTGCACAGAGCTGGGACCCAAGCCATACAGAGTTCAGTGCAGAGGGTATTAGTCTTTCGAATATCATTGCCTGTATTTCAAAGCCACATTAGAAAGGTATTGGCTCATATTTGTTTTCGTGTGTTCTCTACCTTTTCCTGTCCCCATGATGGACAATAGAAGTTTTAATATGCTGTAGTGACCTTCTAGTAGATAAAGGAAGCAGGCAGTTCCCAGGGGCAATCTAAACTTCTGCTTAGTATATGTACTCTTGCTGTTTTCCCTTCCTCCTCAATTTGTAATTCAGGAGGCTCTCTGAGAGACAAGAAGGCTTCTTAGATGGATGGAAGAACAATGGGCTGGGATACCAGGTTCTATCTATGAAAAGGTCTGGTATTGAATTTGCTCATTTGATCAAACTGTATTTTTTTTTCTGGACTTGCTAACTTGCTAAATGCAAATTACATGTATTTGAGTATTTGGTGAGTATTTGAGTATTTGGTAATGTGTGAGCAATTTATTTTTCCAGACCTGCTGCTCATGTATAAAGTGAAAAATCTGCTCCTTTTGAGATGCTAGGCTCTGTGGCAGTCAGCTGATCTCAATCCTTCACACTGTAGCAGCCATCTAGTTGCTTCTTGCTCATGTGACATGTTCTATAGTCTCTGAGCTGCGGATCGTCAGGCTTCTAGTTAGGGAGTATAACTATTTGTCTCAAAGCTTTGTATTTATAGATGAAATATGTCATTTTATATACTCTTGCTGCTTTCACCACCTTCCCCAACCCAGCCCATTTTTGTTTTGTTTTTTGGCATAGAGCTGTTTTATCTGTGACAATCCCAAGAGACAGGAGGGAGAGGTGACATGACAAATTGAATTATTTGACTTGCTACTATAGTTTCCTTTTTGATGATTTGGGCTAGGACCATTAGAGGTTTGAACTAGAGATAGTAAGATGCAGGCTGTTTGGGGTTGTGGCAGGACCCAGTCAGGGAGTATACTGGAAAGAAAGAATACAAAGTACCCTCCCCCTTTCCTGTTCCATTCTTTTTTGTTGCTGTTATAGCCTGTGCCACTTTAGGCAACAAGATGTCCATGTTAGCTAAAGGTGCCAAGCTAAGATTCTTAGAAGTTAATAAAAATGTTTGTGGGTGAGGAACGACTGCGTTCTGTAACAAGATTGTTGTTCCATAAATGACAGCCTTTGAAGTGCAACATGAAGTTAACAGAAAGGTTTTCTTTGGAACTCAGATAAATATATATACACACACACACACACACACACATATATATATATATATATATACAGTATATATACACATATTGTATACAGTATATACTATATACACAAGATATACAATATACACAAGATATACAATATACATATATACCGTGTATATATTGTATACACACACACACACACACACACATTCTTTCTAGTGCGGTTAAATTGAAAGCATTTTCTAAATGAACCTAGGAAGATATTAACGTTTGGGAATCCATGAACTATATTACTCCTTAGTTACACGTTGGGTAGCAGCAGGAAAAACTTTAGACACAGGAACATGGAGAGCCCTTCAGTTTTGAAAGGTTGCTAGGTCTCCTCGAGCTATAAATGATCAAAGAAACATTCGGGTAAATACTGCTCCCAGAACTTAGTTCGATTTAAGAGTGTTGTGCTCAACTTCCGTCTGTTAGCTACAGCCGGGGACTCTAATTTGAGGTCTTCATTTTTGGACAGGGTCTTGGACAGTACATCAAAACATCACTTGCAGGTGCCCCACTTGCAGCAGCTCCCAACAAAAGCGGCGCTTTTACTGATTCCTCTTAGAAGCCAGTTGTAACCGGCCTGCCTTGGGGAACCGGGTTGAGTGGTATCCTTTCCCCCCAAAGTCCTCTCCGGTTGCAAACCTGGCAAAGAAGGATGGACGCCCCTGGGGTAGGGGTCTGGCTCGTCGGCTCCTACTAAATAGGAAGCCACGCAGCTGAGCCAGTAACAACGAAGAACTGGCAGCGTCAGTCTCCAAGGCCAGGGTCTGAAGGTCGGGAGAGAGGAGACTCCGCTCCATAGCCCCGAACTGATTTGCACAACCAGGTGAACGTCGATCGGGGTTGGGGATTAGCGGCCCAGAGATAACCACTAAGGCAAGGAAAGACCAGAAGTCCTGCCTGGTAGCACCACCTTAGTCGGACCGGGAGGTTTTAGTTACCCTCTCCGGAAGGGATCGCACCTGCCCTAAAAAAATTTGAATGATTCCCACTATTGCTCGGAGTACCGGAGGAGACGGGGACGGGGGTGCGCGCCAGAGGAATGCGCGCTCCCCTTGTTCCGCTTCCCCGCCGGTCCCCAGGGCTGATTGGGCGGAAGGAGCGTTCCGGGCCTCTACGCGCTCCCGCTCGTTCGCGCTACGGCTGGAAACCCGCGCCGGTGGCGGCGGCGTTCCGCGGCCGGAAAGGGAGTCGGGAAGGCTGCGCGCAGCCTGCCCCTCTTCTCCCCAGCGTCGGGCCCGCAGGGGCCGAATGGGCAAGTAGGGAACGATGGCTCGAGCCCGGGTGGCGGCGGCGGCGGCGGCGGCGGCAGCGGCCCGAGGCGGCGGCGAATTCTGCTCTTCGCCTCGGCGCCGGCGGTGATCAGACTCAGCGGCCGCTGCCCCTGATGAGACTGTTGACGGGCTGGTTGTGCCTCAGCCTGGCGTCAGTGTGGCTGGCGCGGAGGATGTGGACGCTGCGGAGCCCGCTCACCCGCTCCTTGTACGTGAATATGACGAGTGGCCCCGGTGGGCCGGTGGAGCCAGCGGGTGGCAGGAAGGAGAACCACCAGGTATCGGCGTGGCCCGCGGGGCGGGGGCGTGGCGGCCGGGCCTAGCTGCGCTCGGCGGCCATTGTGAGGGGCCTCGGCCCCGCGAAAAGTTTCCCAGCCCGGCGCTCGGCCGAGGACGCCTTTCGTTCCCTCCCCGGCTGCTGAGACCCCTTGTATCCCCGCCGCAGGCCCGAGCGTGGGCGCCCCAGACCCCGCCTTGCTCCCGCGCCTCAGGCGGTTGCTGCAGACTCTCGACCACCTCGGCCCACGGCGGTGGTCACCCGTCTGGCACCAGGTCTGAGGTATAAACGAGCAGACAGTGCCCGTCACGCCCCACACTCTCCACTCCCCCGAAGAACCGGCCCCCTCTATTTGTCTGGTTGTATCTGTGATCATACAAAGGGTCATAAAGGTAACCGTGCGTCGCCACTCAACTCTCCGGGCTTATTCGAGTAACATTTGTCCGAAGCACAAACTATTTGACAGGCCCTCGCTCCCACCGCACCCAGCTTTCCGCTCCTACCTAAGGGAACAACTTCAAACTGAGGTGTTGTCTGACCAGGAAGATGTGTTAGGAACGGAGGGTATGGAAGGTTTTACTGGCAGGGTTTTAAACCAGAACTCTGGAGTGAATTCTAAGGGTTGTAGTTGATGTAGAGGGGCCGGCTGTGCTGTCTTTTTCATTAGTTTAGCTTTGTGCTGTTAAAGAAATATGTGCAGGTCAGCTGTGGAATTAAGGGTGCAATATTAAATATTTGACCATACTGTAATTTACAGTTTACATTCATTGAAAAGGCTTTTGACCTCTGCCGGAGTGTTGGCTTATAATAGCGTTTATAGTAGTTTGCCTTTCCAGAGAGCAGAATCGGATTCCCCATTTTGGGGAATCATTATTTTCATAGATTTCTCATTTTTTCTATGTTGCTTTTCTTATTATGTATGCCAGGTATTCAGCGAGTTTACACTCAGAGTGATTTCATGCATTTTAATGATAATAAAGAATTGTCTAAGGAGATAAAAGAATTTATTTGGAAAAGTAGCATTTCTTACATAAGAAATATTTACAGTGGCCATTTTTCTACGTTTAAAGGAAATCATAAATTTCCATACTTTTTTTGGTATCCCACAGCTATTGCAATTTGTTAGGTAATAACGCTTATGATACTGTGAGGAGTGTGCATAAAGCTAGTAGGTGATCTTAAGTTGTAAAACGACATTCTTTGCTATGGATTAATTACTCACACTAGTCATTTTTAGATAAACAACTCTCAAGTAGTGCAGTGATAATGTACAGTTACCAAAATGTCACATTTCCATATGGAACACAGACAATAGTGTAAAATGAATTAAAAGGTCATTTTCAGCAGGTGGTAGAAATATGGTTCTGGATAGGATAAAAAGGAGGCTTATTTCCGCTGAAGTGTAATTATGGGTGAGTGTCTTAGCTGTAGATGTTTATTGTAACACTTGTTGTGACTACCTCTTCTGCAGCACCCTTAATATGATGTCTTCAATGCTCATAAAATTGGGCATATTTAAAAAATTGAAAAACTGTGTCAACTCTTTGGTTTTTATGGAACCTGGGTAGAATTATAGCTGTAGATACAGCCTTAGAATATCTCCTAACAGAGGTTACTTTTTGATGGTATACATTTTTAAAGCTGCATCTGTCAGATTCTAAGGAAAATTAATACTGGTTTCAGATACCTCATTCACTTCATTATGCTTCAGAGATACTCAGGTGTGCATGTTTATGTGAATGTGTTTGTGTGTGGGTGTATGTGTGGTTTGTGTATGTTTCAACCAGTTGCACTAACAATTTGGTAATTAATTTCTCCAAGGTGAAGACTAATTTGTTGATTTCTGAATAGTTAGTGGGAGATATATCTCTTTTCCTTAGAATAATCAATCCAGACATTATTTTGAGATGATACAGTCACATTATGAAAGTATTCACAAATAAGGTTAAAATGAGCAAAAGAAATGTGTATAGAAACCACAGTGAGACTATCCTCTTTGCTTTATATGGGGTGGGGCAAAAGTAGGTTTTTAATTGTGAGTCTGGGGAACACAGTTTATTCTTGTATTGTTATTTATTAATAACTGTATTTCATACCAACATCTGTAAACCTACTTTTACCCCAACCTGAATTCCAGGATCTTGGATTTGCTTTATAAACTTTGTTGCTTGTGAAATAGCAACTCTAATGGTTCCCCTCACCCCATCAAATTAATAGTTTTATGCAAGGTCTTTTGGTGTTTATTTGGGTGTGTGGATTCCATACCAGACACATCTGATTCTTTTGGAGTTGCATGAAAATAGGATTATGGATTTGATTGTACCATACTTAGCACAGCTTTCCTTATGGTTATTTTATTAAGAAGTTATGGTGGAAGATCCTTTGGTTAAAATAATTCCCCACCACTTTGGCACTTGGGCAATGTTTATTCACTAATGATTGCTATTTAGTAACTATAGCCTACAGATACAAGCCTTCTTTGAGCTAAATAAGCTTTAAAACTATTGTAGTAGCACCATTTTCGTAACTTGGTTTGGTGTGCTACCTTAAAAACTGAGATTGTTTCACTTTGGGCAAGAGAAACAGGGGACCAGCTTTTCTTAGAGCAGGAATGTATCTGGTGGTCCAAATTGGGCTCACGGACTTTTTTTGCACAGCATGTGAAGTAAATTTAAGTGGTTGCAAAAAATTGCATTATTTTGTAACATGTGAAAATTTCTATATGAAATTCAAATTCCAGTGTCTACAAAAAAGTTTTGTTGGAACAGAGCCACCACATTCATTTACATGTTGTCTATGAGTCCTTCCAGCATACATCAGCAGAGTAATAGTTGCTACTTTGTGGCCTGCAAGCCTAAAATATTTACTATCTGGTCCTTTACAGCGTTTTTTTTTTTTTAATTTAAAAAAAATTTTTTTTATTGATTATGCCATTACATTTGCTCTATTCCCCCCTCCATTCCCCTCCACCCTGCATACCCCTCCCCCACCATTTCCCCCTTTAGTTCATGAACACATGTCTCAAATTCTTTAGATTCTGTATTTCCCCTACTATTCTTACCCTCCCCCCTATTTTCTATCTACTGTCTATGCTACTTATTTTCTGTACCTTCTCCCCCCCTTCTCCTCCTCCCACTCCCCTGTTGCTAACCCTCCATGAGATCTTCATTTCTATGGTTCTGCTCCTGATCTAGCTGTCCTCTTAGTTTGCTTTTGTTTTAGGTGTGGTTGTTACTAACTGTGAGTTTGCTGTCCTTTCACTGTTCATCTTTTTTATCTTCTTTTTCTTAGGTAAGTCCCTTTAACATTTCATATAATAAGGGCTTGGTGATGATGAACTCCTTGAATTTGGTCTTATCTGAGAAGCACTTTATCTGTCCTTCCATTTTAAATGAAAACTTTGCTGGGTAGAGCAATCTTGGTTGTAGGTCTTTGGTTTTCATGACTTGGAATACCTCTTTCCAGCCCCTTCTTGCCTGTAAGGTCTCTTTTGAGAAATCAGCTGACAGTCTGATGGGGACTCCTTTGTAGGTGACTGTCCCCTTAGCTCTTGCTGCTTCTAGGATTCTCTCCTTCATTTTAATCTTGGCTAATGTAATGATGATGTGCCTTGGTGTGTTCCTTCTTGGGTCCAACTTGTTTGGGACTCTCTGAGCTTCCTGGATTTCCTGGAAGTCTATTGCCTTTGCCAGATTGGGGAAATTTTCCTTTATTATTTGTTCAAATGAGTTTTCCACTGGTGGCTGTGCCTTTCCCCCTTCTGGTACCCCTATAATTCGGATGTTGGAACGTTTAAAGATGTCCTGGAGGTTCCTAAGCTTCTCCTCATTTTTCTGAATTCTTATTTCTTCATTCTTTTCTGTTTGATCATTTTTTTCTTCCTTGTGGTCCACTCCCTTGATTTGAGTCCCAATTTTCTTTCCATTACTATTGATTTCCTTTGTATTACCATTCATTTCAATTAGTTTAGCTTCCATATGTTTCTCTAATTTGTGACTAAAATCAACCAGTTCTGTAAGGATCCTGATAACCAGTGTTTTGAACTGTGCATCTGAAAGACTGGCTATTTCTTCATCGCTTAGATCTATCGGTTCTGGGGCTCTGAGTTGTCCTAGAGCCATTTTTGGTCTATTCGTGCTGTTAAGTAAGCGGAGCAAAGCCTTAGTTGTTTACCGGGATGGGGAGACCCAGGTCGCTGGTTTGTGACGCTGTGTGTGGGGGCGTGGTCAGAGAGGGAGCAATGGCTGTCCTCTCTGCTAGCCGAGCCCGTCCAATCACACCACTCGCCACGGGCTTGTTTATCTGATCGGAATTGTGCAAGCCTGCTGCCCCTCGCAGGCTTCCCTTCTCACTGGTTTCTCCGCACACTGATGCACGCGACCCACCGCAGACAGCCCGCAGCGCCTCTTCCCTGTGCGCTCCCGTAGCTAGCTCACAGCGCCTTCGGCTGCTCTCGCACCGCACACCACCCAGGGATTTTTTCTTGCTAACCTGCTCCGCTGCTGGTTTCGCTTCTCTTACCGGTTTAGCTGAGCATTTAGTTGTCCTCTGGACTCCGTATTGTCGATTTTCCGTGTGGCTTGGTTGTGATTGTTGTTAAAAATAGTTGTTCTTAGATTTGGTTGTGCACAGAGGCAAGGTCGTTCCTCCACCTACGTCTCCATCTTGGCGGAAGTCCCTACAGCGTTTTTTCCAGAGAAAAATGTAGGTCTCTCAATCAGTACATTCTTTTTTTTTTAATATATTTTTTTGATTTTTATTTATTTATCTTTAGAGAGGAAGGGAAGGAGAGAAGGAGAGACACATCAATGTATGGTTGCCTCTTGTGAGTTCCCTGCTGGGAACTGGCCCGCAACCCAGGCATGTGCCCTGACTGGGAATCGAACAGCAGTCGTGTGGTTCGCAGGCCCGCGCTCCATCTACTGAGCTACACCAGCCAGGGCTCAATCAGTACATTCTTAATCGAAAGTTTCAAGGTCAGTAGATTGACTCATTGGGGAG